TCTCCTCTCACCCTCTCTGTCTGACTGACTCGTTATTGAATTTTAATTTTCAATGATAGTCAGTTAGTCAGTAAAGCCAGGCAGGCAGGCAATCAGGCCGCCGCCGTCGTCGCTAGACATTTTAGAATCTAAGCTGGGTCTGATGTAGCCGACTGGCTGGCTTGCATTCTTGATGGTGATAGCGAACGTAATCGTGGTGTGATGATGTATTCCACACGATGATGATGATGATCATCGTCATCATCATGATGATACCTTTCCAAACGTGACTGTAATTTCTCAAGCATAAATAAATATCAATTGGGGTGTTGTTAGAAACTCATGCACACACACACATACACACTCGATCAGAACCTATGGAAAAATAGATGAAAAGTCAAAAAGCCGATCATCAATGCACATAAAAATGGCAGGAATCCATAGGTGGCATGGCATGGCATGGCTGGGGTGCGAAAAAATGCACATCTCAACGAGAGCTGGGAATTAAATTAGATTCTTATTTATGCCAAAATGGATTATCGTGACAAAAAATTGAAATGTTATTAAAATTCAATATCAATTGGTGGAAATTTACAGAATCGGATATAACAATTTTTTTGTTCAAATGTCTGGGTAACTGAAAAAAAAAAATAACAATCATAATAATTATTTATTAATAAATAATGACCAGCAAAAAAACGAGTTTTGCCACCCAAACACAACGAAATCCCGAGAGGGAGATAAATAAAAAATCATTAAAAATATAATAAAAAAAATTAAACATGTTATTAAGTGCTTAAATAAATTGTTGCCGTTTTGTGTTTCGAAATGCCATTTAAGAAAAGGAACAGCTAGTCGTCATACCCACACATTTATCTGGCTTTATCAAGAGTCTGTTTTACTTTGGCCATTTCTTGTACTTCAATTCTCCGACATTGCAAATTGATTCATTTCGAAATGAGAAATAAAATTCTAATCTAAGTTCAAAATTAGACTTTGTGATTCGACGAGTGTCCCATCATAATGACACCCCTCTAAATGCGGAAGGCCTGAAATGAAGAATTATTCAACATTGCCGTATCATCATCATTCTCCTCCTTCTCCTCTAGTCTAGTTCTAATGGTCTTCCCCAAGGCATAACAATGATGATGTGGATGTTGAACAATCATGGCTGTCATCATACCTCTGCTGAGGAAGAGCAACAATTTGTTAAATCAAAGAGTAGTGGCGAACGCTACGAATCGTCATCACATAACGCATGTAATCAATTTAAATTCAAGCTGATATATAAGTGGTACCCTGATGATGATATGCCATGGCTGATGATGTGGATGTTGGAATGTCTCGAGAAGATTATTGCCGCAACAAGGAAGATATCATCAAACGGCATAGTTAAGTAGTTCGGGGGGAATGTATAATTTGCTAAGCGGGAAAATCAATGGAAAAAGGACAACAATTTCAAAATAGTTGCCAGTACGATGGAAAGGCTTGGATGTACACGTAAGAGGGTCGTAACTCTTGGAATTGACAATTTCGTATTTGATAATTCAAGATTGAAAATTAAGAGGTAAGTCATCGAAAAGAGATTTTTGAAATTACTGCTCTAATCAACAAACGAACCTTTGGAAATAATTTTCTAAATTTATTTTTATAAATTATTATTAAAAAAAAAACTATTTAAATATGCTTCCAAAATTGACAATTACTGGGAGATAAAAAAAATCCACAAGAAAGTCAAAAGCCATAATTTTAATTTTTTTTTTTAAATTTTTTTGAATGAAAGCAAAAATTGTTGGAAATAGCTTCAAATTTTAGAATAAGTTTAGATTTGTTCGAATTGGCCACCTTTGGCACGAGCAATGGCCTTCAAACGGCCAATGAAACCGTCACACGCAGCCCGAATGATGCTCTGCGGTATTTTGGCCCATTCCCGGCGAAGCGCTTGCTAGAGGTGATCAACACATTAGTATTTTTTAGTGCAAACCTTGCTTTCTAAAATACTCCAGACACAATAGTCCAACGGATTTGGTATCCGGAGATTTTGGTGGCCACGGGGCGCTGGAAATTAAGTGAGGAACCTCATTTTGTAATCATGGCACCTTGGGTGATGTGAGTGCGCTGGTGCTGAGTCCTGTTGCAACATCCAAGGTCTGCGGCCAAAATATTTGCGTGCCCAAGGTTGGCCTCTTTGGCAAGTAAACACGATCAGTTCGTTCGTTTATAAACTGCTGGACAATGAATGTTATCTCATCGGAAAAAATCAAATTCGGCAGTTCACCACTTTCGACCAAGCGAAGCAACTCTTTAGCACTTTTGAGTCTATTTTGCGGTGTAAGTTCTTGCACTTTTTGGAATTTCAATGGCTTTAGCCCGAGCTCTTTTTTCAATATTTGCCGAATGGAATACTGCGATGGTTTCGATCAGGTCACTTCTCCTTCTTTTCGAACAATTTTTGCTGATGTTGCTGTTTTCTTCCGTCCACTTCCTTGATGTCGGGCTACGCTACCAGTATAACCACGGTAACGAGCGATGGTACGAGACACAAAAGAAGATAAAGAAATCACACTATCACTCTTGAATTTCATCACGAATAATTATTTTTTCTGGAAAATTCTCAGCAAAATGCTTGTGTACGCTAGTAATCAATATAATGGGCTGTCACTGGAATAATTTTAACAGGACAAGTGGCTTAGAAATGAGAGCAGTCCGAAGTTGGTTGCAGTTTTTTAATCTAACCCAGTAGACGTAAGAGGGTCGTAACTCCTGACAATTGACAATTTCATATTTGATAATTCTAGATCGGCAATTAGGGGGTAAGTAATCCCAAAATATTTTTAAAATTAAAAAACCTTGGAAATAATTTTTTAAAATTATTTTTTTATAATAATATTTTTATAAATTCTTGAGTTAATAATAATACATTTTTAATATGCTGCTAAAATTGGATAATTACAACTCTCATATTTGATCATTTTGATAACTGCAGTTTAGTTAATTCACAAACAAAACTGAAAACATCATTTGTCATGGTTGAATTAGTTTAGGCATGAAATTTAAAACGTTTGTCACAAAAAAAAAAAACAACAACAACAAAAGCAACAATAAAAACAAATATCATTCACCCAATTATTTTGTCATTAATATTTGTTATTTCGTTTTCATTTTCAATTTAGACAAATAATTGTTAGCTTTGCCTCAATGAAAAGGAGAATGGGGGTTGAATAACCCAAAAACCAATTTTCCCACATTTTTTTTGTTTGGTATCTGAAATCAGACATATGGTTAAATGGGTTGTATAAATTATTAAAATCTACATTGGAAAAAATATGAGTTCTAATATACCCTTATTATTTTCAGCTAATTTCGATAATCGGTACAAAACTACCAATAACAATCCTAGTTAACGCAGATGTCTGTTCACTTAGTTTAAGAGATAAGGAGGATGGGTTCCAATAAAACCTTATCACCAGATTCTTCTTTCGCAGAACTGCATTCAACCGTAAAAAGAATCGTAATTTTCTTTTCTAGTCATTGACTGGCTTTGTTATCAGAAATCGCGAAAACGTAAACAAAACCTTTGAAACAATAAAAAAATGTAATTAATATTATTAAATCAAGCGATGCGAGAAAAAAGCAAAGGAATAGCCTCCGCGAGCAAGACAATCAACAGATTGAATTTACAACTTATCAATCAGCATTTTAATTTGTTGTTATACAAAATATATAAATATTATAAGGATTTGCATGGAACAAAGTTGTATTGAATGGAATCAGAATGTGCAGAAGAAACATCAAACTAAACTGGGGTTCAATAAGGAATATTACAATTCGGCCCTGCTTAAAAAATGCAACACTCAACGAAATATTTATTCAAACCAGATGAGATTAGTTTACCTCAAAAAAATGTATATTCAGCTTACAAAAAAATGTATACTCAGCCCAGGTTTTTACTCAGACAATTTAAAATCAAGACTGATGAATTAGGTTTCAAGCAGGAGAACTTCGATTTATTCTAAGCTGAAACCGGTCTGCATTAGGTAATCTCTAACTCGAACCAGCTGAAATAGATTTCGATTAGATCGGACTGCATTTTTTGTGGGGAAATTTTTAATTCAGATTCTATGAATTGGGTTTCCACTACAAATCCTCAACTCAGACCAGATGAATAAGGTTTTCGCTGAGGCAATTTAAAATTAAGACTGAAGATTTAGGTTCCCAGTAGGAGAACTTCGATTTCTTCTAAGCTGAAACCGGTTGCGTTAGGAAATCTCCAAATCCAACCAGTTCAATTAGATTTCGATTAGATCAGACTGAATTTTTTGCGGGAGAATTTTTAAATCAGTCCAAATGAATTGCGTTTCCACTAAAAATCCTCAACTCAGACCAGCTGAATATAAATTCGAATAAGATAACCTAAAATCAGTACTGCTGAATTAGTTTTCCATTAGAGGAACTTCAATTTAGCCAAACCGAATTAAGTTTTATTTTGAGAACCCTTGAAATCGGCGCAGCAGAACCAAGATTTCATTGATTAAACTTCAATAACGATCAGCTGAATACGATTTTCACTAGGAAAACTTCAATTTATTCCACCCTAGTTATGTTAATAACAAATTTGTTTCAACCTGGAAATGTATAACTTTTTTAGTTGCAATTAATCCATATTCACATGAATTTCATACTCAGCAAATAGAAAATCCTCATCCACTCCAATAAATGTAGTTCAGCTAATTGAATTTTAGCTCTTGAAATAATCTTCTGATTTAGCCAAAGGCATAGCAACCAAAGACATTCATTTTAGATGTAGTCAGTTTTCAATCCTTTCCCCTCAGCCAAATTAATAATTTATTCTCCCTTGAGCAACCTCATAAACAATAATTATATTCCGCAACCTTTCCAACCAAGTCAGTCACTGGTTTTAAATTCTATTTTATTATTCATCCATAGTTTTAATAGTTTGCTGAATATACTAGAAATATATTTTTAGTTATCAATTTGTCAATTAATTATTAATTACTTACCACCATTCTCGCATGGCTTCCACATCAGGCGATGAACTTGTACCACCGGGCCCCGGGGCCGAAGATGCATTACCACCCGCACTTAAACGATTAACACTTAACTGGTCTTTGGCTGTGGCAGGGGGTGGACACTCCAGGGCTGGTGTTACACCAACAACACTACTCACCCCAGCTGATGAGGTGAGTGGTGTTGTTGTCGTCTTCGTCGTTGTGGCGGTGCTGGTGGTGTTGATGGAGCTGTTGTTGGAATGATTTGCAGTCTTGATGTTGCTGCTGCTGCCGCCAATCTTTGGCAAATTGCTATCGATGCCACTTTTGCTACGTCGAAATGTTGTTGGTAGGCCACCATTGATTTGTGATTTCGACATTATTTTAGCAGTTCTCGTTGTTTTTGTTTTGCTTTATTAATTTGTTAACACACACGATTTTCTTTTATATTTTTGTACTAATTTTTGTTGCTGTTGTTGTGGTTGTTGTCGACCACCAAACTGCCAACTGATACACGAACCAACGATAAGCTAACTTGGCCAACACAGGTAAAATTATTAATCGCAAACATACGAAGGAACAAGAGAAATAAAATAACTGAATTTCCTCTTTTTAAATTAACAACAACTCATGTAGATATTAACTTTCTTGTTAAAAAATTATTGTCGTTTCTTATCAGAAAAATTATCCTAATTGGAATGATTATTGATAGATATGTGGTGTTCTTCTGTCTCCAGCTCTGTTGTTTTTCTTATCAAATGATGTCAAAATCTATGACAGTGAGAATGATGTTGAGAGAGTGTGTTTTGTTTTTGTTTCCGTTTCGGTGTGTTGTGTTTTTGTGGGTTATGCGGAAATACAAAGAGTTGTTGTTCGGCCGAGATTTCAATGCAGAGTTGCCAAGTTCAATTGAATTGTGAAATTGTGCAAAACATTGTGAAATTGAAATCTTAGTTTTCTTATTGGATATAAGGAGAGAACAAATTTACAATGTCCGGGTTAAAATTGCCAGTTAATAATATATTTTTATAACACCTGGAGTATGAAATCAAGTGTATAAATATAAAAAAAACTCTATAATAGAAAATTAGTTTTCTAGGAAATAATTGCTCACATTTTTAGGAGACATTTTTGCCTATTCTATAAGTGAAATATTATGGAAAGAAAGAAGTTGAATATATAAATGTGACCTTTTCTTATACCCTATTCCAAAAACGTAGTTCTCTTTTTGGCAAACTTTATCCGAGTGAAATGCAATTTTGAACTTGATAGAAGACTCCCAAAAGGGAAAAGTAAGAAATTTAAGTTGCTTTAATTTTTAATAGTTACAAACATTATTGGAACAACTCTTGTTTCGTAAAAACTTTTCGATTTTTTCGACTTTTTTTTCCAGAGGTAGGTGTTTATTTATTTTGATACATTTTACACACAGGTATGAAGCATTGTTAACGATTTCATGCTTCACACCTTGGCAACACTGCATTAGCCCACAAAACTCTGTTTTCTGACGGCTGCTATTTACAAAAACCACACTTAACTCTCATCACCTCACTCACTTTGCATTCACACTCTCTTTCCTCAAAAAAAAAAAAAAAAAAAAATAGCACTCTGCACTTGTCTCACCTTCTTCTTACTTCTTACTTCTCTATTGTATTGTGTTAATGAAAAAAACTGATTTCACTTTTTTTCCTAATGATTTTCCTTGTTGGATTTTCCACACTTTCCACACGGTCTATTTCACAATCACGTTTGTCATGCTTTTGCCGATATTCTTGTAGCGTTTCCTATCGAAATTGCGTGAATTTATTGTTTATTTAATGACGATGAAATAAACACCAAGAAAATTAGGGATAACTACGTCGACTTTTGACTAAACGACGACATTTGGCAGTAGCCAAGAGCGAGAGAATGAAGGAACCAACTGTGAATGGGGGAATAGCTCGTGGAAAGAAGTATAAAGAAGACATAACGGAACATGAAAAAATATTTTTTGTTTGATTTGTGCCAGCTGTGTTATACAAGGCGTTTGAAGTGTCCCTTTTGTTTATAAACTAGTTTTAACGGACGGTCATTGCTTTTTAACATCCGATTATCATCCAGGAAGTGGGCCAAGGACATAAAGTTTTAAATAAAGTAACAGGAAAAGAATAAGATGACTTAATGTCAATTCCTTTTGGGGTTTGAAAAACCTACGCATCTTTTGTTGGTGAGTAGAAGATTGTACGCATTAAGTTAAAAAGACAAATGTTAATCTTTATTATTCAAGATAAAAGAAAGCAGAATCCAGGGCAAACAAAGTACCTCAAAAAAGGGGGACAAAGCTATAGTCGGTTAAATTACAATTTTCCATACGATATGTGCCAATCCATTTTATAAAACAAGGTAGAGTCATGCTCATTATCAGAATTTTCATAATGGAGTCCATTTGGAACTCAACGAATTGGACACCTTGTCACAGAAAATACACAATATAGATCAAGACTTTAGCCTAGTTCCCATATAAGATACCATCTGAGTTGAGATTTTTGAAATGTACAAACAAGGTATATAAAAAAGTCAGAACCTTGAACAATAAATGTCCGAAACTTTGAGAAGAAAATGGCCAAAATATCAGAACAAACCAATGTTTAAAAATGATTAGAAGAATGTTAATCATTTTTAAACATTGGTTTGTTCCCAATTCTTTATTTTTGGTTTTGAAAAGTGGTTGATTTTATTGTTCAGAGACAGCTGGCTCGACAGTAGATATGCCTTTGTCCCAAATACATTTTTGAAGAAAATTGGCATAATTTGACTTTTATTGTTGTCAGTAGGTTGGGTTCCACCCTTTAGCAGAACAAAAACCGACCATTTATCTCCCATTTATAACATTACAAGGCTATTCCGTTGTAACCCTTTAACGCAAGTTAATCCAAAACTATTAAAAATTATTTTATTCTAATATTAACTGATATAATTAAGTTTTTTATAACTTTTAAAGAATCCATGAATATTTCATTAACAATTCAAAGTTTGTCCGCAGCAACGCCGCTTTATGCAAGGCATTCAAGTGCAAGGCATTCAAATCCAACGGACTCAATTAGATTTCGATTAGATCAGACTGAATTTTTTGTGGGGGAATTTTCAATTCAGTCCAGATGAATCAGGCTTCCAATACAAATCCTCAACTCAGACCAGCTGAATAATAATTCGAATAAAATAATCTAAAATCAGGACTGCTGAATTAGTTTTGATAGCCCATACTACAAACCTTTAAATGTCTAAAAACTTAACATATAGTAACAACAAATATTATTTTTTTAATTTTTGAATCTATTTCTTCATATTTATTAATATAATACATAAATTTATATCTAAATTAAAATTTTATACCACGTGCTTCTTCTTATTTTGCCCCTTTTAAAGAAAACATGCAATTTCACATGTATTGATATCCCCACTGAGAGAGAAACGTAGAAAGAATTGTAATTTATTTAATATGGCAATACTTGCGGCAATGTAGCATTGCCAGTAGCGATTTTTAGGTAAAGAAGACAAAGTAACGTTTATTTTTGTTAAAAAATGAAATGATGGGAATGGGAAAATAAACGTTTGAATATGTAAAAAGAATTTGTTTAGTTCAAGCTTTCAATAACTACTTTGATTAAGTAGAATTGATGTAGCAAATGGTGAGAAAATAATAGACAAAATGGTAAAAATTTACGACTTTCCAACCAAATAAGGTTATAAAATTACAGTTTGTACATATTTTAAAATAAATCCAAAAATAAATCCAAATGTATATGACATATTTCAGAAAAATAATTAATAAATTGGATAACCTTTTCTCCTCGCCACTGACTTTTCACATAGTCCTTCTCTTATAATCTCAACTTGTTAAATAAGAGCAATATTGAAAAATATATTCATTCAAATATTACAAAGAGAATATGATAGAAATTCTTGTGATCTCTTACAAGCAAATGACGTGATTGTTCTTTAAAGTAATACAAATACCACACAAATACATTTCAAGATTCCGTTTCAATTCCATTCCACAGGCACATACCATTGAAACCAAAATTCATTCATAACACACAAAAATACTTAACAATAACAACCACAAACAAAATCACGTTTCATTTTTTTTATTGTTTTTGGAGGGGATAATTTGCAAACAGGAAATTGTCAAAAAAATAAACAAAACACGAAAAGTATTCACCAAAGATTTGCATAAACAAATGTACACAATGTCATTCTAAAATTACACATAAATTGTCAAAAAAAAAAAAAAAAAATTCTGAGTTACCTCACAGAAGTGCCAAAACAATAAAAATATATAAATTAAAAATAACATTTTCGAACACGTGAATGCATAAATTATTATTGTTTTTTTGTAATTATTTTTTTGGAGGAAAAATAAATTGTTACTCACCGAAATTGACTCCTTCTTTCGAGTATGTCTTGAACACGATTGCGACGCAGCGGCACCGGTGAGGTACTGGGTGATGCTTCCTGTGATTCGGCAACCAGATTGCGTGCCATAATTAGATCTTCTTCTTTCATTTTATTTTAAAAAATATATTTTTTCGGGGCTTTTTTAATTTATGATTTTTTTAAATAAATTTTTTGAGTCTTTAAAACATTTACTTGGAGATTTTAAATTGATTTTAAAATGTTTAATAACTGTGTTTATTATTAGAAAAAAAATAATGTTGGTAAAAAAATACCATCCTCAGAATTTACATTTTTTTTCTGTATAGAAAAAAAATACATAGAAAAAAATTCGAACCTCAGTATTGAGGATTTTTTTCCATAGAAAAAAAATTCGAAGCTCAGTATTGAGACATATTTTTTCTATAGAAAAAAATTCGAACCTCAGTATTAAGGATTTTTTCTATAGAAAAAATTCAAACCTCAGTATTGAGGATTGTTTTCTATAGAAAAAATTCAAACCTCAGTATTGAGGATTTTTTCTATAGAAAAAATTCAAACCTCAGTATTGAGGATTGTTTTCTATAGAAAAAATTCAAACCTCAGTATTGAGGCATATTTTTTCTATAGAAAAAAGAAATTCGAACCTCAGTATTGAGGCCTATTTTTTCTATAGAAAAAAATTCGAACCACAGTATTGAGGCCTATTTTTTTCTATAGAAAAAAATTCAAAACTCAGTATTGAGACATATTTTTTTCTATAGAAAAAAATTCGAACCTCAGTATAGAGGCAAAATTTTTTTCTATAGAAAAAAATTCGAACCTCAGTATTGAGGCAAAATTTTTTTCTATAGAAAAAAATTCAAACCTCAGTATTGAGGCATATTTTTCTATAGAGAAAAATTCGAACCTCAGTATTGAGGCCTATTTTTTTCTATAGAAAAAATTCGAACCTCAGTATTGAGGCATATTTTTCAATAGAAAAAAATTCGAACCTCAGTATTGAGGCATATTTTTCAATAGAAAAAAATTCGAACCTCAGTATTGAGGCAATTTTTTCTATAGAAAAAAGAAATTCGAACCTCAGTATTGAGGCAATTTTTTTCTATAGAAAAAAATTCGAACCTCAGTATTGAGGCAAATTTTTTTCTATAGGAAAAAATTCGAACCTCAGTATTGAGGCAAATTTTTTTCTATAGGAAAAAATTCGAACCTCAGTATTGAGGCATATTTTTTTCTATAGAAAAAAATTCGAACCTCAGTATTGAGGCCTATTTTTTTCTATAGAAAAAAATTCGAACCTCTGTATTGAGGCCTATTTTTTTCTATAGAAAAAAATTCGAACCTCAGTATTGAGGCCTATTTTTTTCTATAGAAAAAAATTCGAACCTCAGTATTGAGGCCTATTTTTTTCTATAGAAAAAAATTCGAACCTCAGTATTGAGGCCTATTTTTTTCTATAGAAAAAAATTCGAACCTCAGTATTGAGGCCTATTTTTTTCTATAGAAAAAAATTCGAACCTCAGTATTGAGGCCTATTTTTTTCTATAGAAAAAAATTCGAACCTCAGTATTGAGGCCTATTTTTTTCTATAGAAAAAAATTCGAACCTCAGTATTGAGGCCTATTTTTTTCTATAGAAAAAAATTCGAACTTCTGTATTGAGGCTAATTTTTTTCCACAGAAAAAAAAATCGAACCTCAGTATTGAGGATTTTTTTCCACAGAAAAAAAATTCGAACCTCAGTATTGAGGCATATTTTTTTCTATAGAAAAAAATTCGAACCTCAGTATTGAGGCATATTTTTTCTATAGAAAAAAATTCGAACCTCAGTATTGAGGCAAATTTTTTTCTATAGAAAAAAATTCGAACTTCTGTATTGAGGCAAATTTTTTTCTATAGAAAAAAATTCGAACCTCTGTATTGAGGCAAATTTTTTTCTATAGAAAAAAATTCGAACCTCTGTATTGAGGCAAATTTTTTTCTATAGAAAAAAATTCGAACCTCTGTATTGAGCCAATTTTTTTTCTATAGAAAAAAATTCGAACCTCTGTATTGAGGCAAATTTTTTTCTATAGAAAAAAATTCAAACCTCAGTATTGAGGCATATTTTTTCTATGGAAAAAAATTCAAACCTCAGGATTGAGGCATATTTTTTTATATAGAAAAAAATTCAAACCTCAGTATTGAGGCATATTTTTTTTATATAGAAAAAAATTTTTTTTTCGATCCTCGGTATTAAATATTTTTTTTTTTGTAGAAAAAAATAAATTACGAATTGTTTTCTATAGAAAAAAATCAGTGACCAATATTGAAAATTTAGTTAATAAAATATAAATTCTCAGTACTGAAAATTATTAAGAATTTTTTTCTCAAATAATTTTGATTTCAATTATTAATTAATCATTTAAATTCACTCTCATTTTCTTGGCCCACTTTCATTGAA